AGTACAACGCAGACGCTCACAACGCACGCACACTCGCCACTGTGAATGCACGTATGCAAACTCTACCCCTATGAGCTTTTTCGAAGACTGGACCGGCAAATCCTCAGATTAACGACCCTACCCCTATGAGCAGATTGAGCCGACAAATCCTCGAGATTGACGAAGTCACCATAGGCGCCTCCTGGAATATTCGCTCCTACGGGGAGTCGAACCCAGGACCTGATGTGCTAGTGATACTCTTATAACCACTAGGCTACAGGCCCATTTGCAGACCTTTTTATTTGATTTTGCTTAGGGTTCCAAATATTTATTTTAAAATTCAATAAAGTGGCTTTGAGATGTAGTATTTAGGAGAACATGCAAGACTCAACGGCCGCGTAGAAAAGTAGAGACTACAGGTTAAAATACATGGTGCACCGACCCAAAATTTTATTTAGTCCAACACACCACGGACACCGGGCTTGGCGGCAGATGTGGGCAGCATGATGGCGGCGTAGCTGGTGGCCGATGCTTTCTTTTCTTTTTTTTTTCTTGGAAAGGATAACACGGCCGGTTACTCGACCGCTAGTGATAAGTGAGACTATTGATACGGATTGCCTACTGCCTGTTGGCAAAACCGGCAGTGATGTCAGGTTGGCAACCGACGGTGATTATTGATTTTGTAATAGTGTACCAGCCGCAGGTGCCACGTGTGATATTTCACCAATGTTTTGAAGGCTATATTCTGAAAATTAAAGGTAGACCCTAACCCAGAGTCAAAATCACAAAGCCGCACAGTTTTCTTGACCCGTTGTTCTGGAGAAAATTTACATGGGCACATCAGTAAATAACATCTGCACTGAGAAAATGAAAAGGTAGAATGATTTTGTACACATAATTCATGCACTCATTTTTTTGATAACGGATAAAATCTGACTTCAGGCCATTTCAAAGAAGAGGCATAAGTCCAAATCATTATACAAATGCTTACCAACTCCATGAACTAAAGCTTAACAGTAAAAGTTAACAGAAAAAAACAAAAGGCCATCCATGGAGCCGAAAAGGTCCATCGACCTTGACGCTAAGCAGGATTCATCTACTCATACCCATATGGTCAGTTCGGAGTCATCCGGCAATGGTGATGATTGGATATAACCAAATATCTATTCTCCAGTCAATGTTGATGATTGCAGAAACATAGGAGAGAGTTCAACGAAAGCAGAGAAGCAAGATGCAAAAGTTGTACCCAGCATATCTTCATCTTTTCTTGCAGACATATAAAAAAAGTTGACCAGTTTGCATGAATTTCAGATGTTTTTTCCTTTTTTTGAAAAACAAGATTTTGGTCATATTTGGCGATCGGCAAATATAGACATCTGTATTCTAGTCCAGTCCGCATTCATCTGAAATTAAGAAGACGACGAAATTAAGGTCAGATGAAAGGGGAATGGAAGAGAAGCAAGAAATAACAAACAGCCAGAGATATAGCAGACCTGGATTTTTCATCCGCATATCTGATGCTTGGGAAGATTGGGATGGATTTCAACTGCATGCCTCAGCGCAGCCTCCAATTCCTTTACCTCTTCCTTGCTAGCGCCTCTAGAACGCAAATAAATTTTGACATCCTGGAGTGATGACAGGTTCCCCAGGCCCAACTCAGGACCATCACCATTGCGGGTGATTTGTCTAGCCGCCTGTACATAGAACTCAAAGTTAAGGATTTCCAGCCTCGGCATAGCTCCTTGCTGAAACACTATAGGCCCTATAGATCCCCCGAACAGGAAGAATACAAGGCATGGGAATAATCCAGCACCAATGTTGGAATATGATCCGAATTTTCACGCGAGTCTAGCGGGGACGCCTGGAGGGCCCGCGGTTCGGGTTATATATTTAGCGGATTTGTTTCCGTATTTGACTGCAGTCAGTCCGTCCTATAAATACATCTTGTAAGCCGCATAGGAAGAGTTGATCACTCATTATATTCCCTGCGTTTTGTAAACTCTCCTCATATAGCGAAGATCGCCGGTTGGCGCCCGTGTTTTTTTCCCGCAAGGGTTTTCCACGTAAAAATCTATGTGTCGACAGAATATCGTCGGTAGTCCTCTGAGGTGTATCCCACGAAGGTAGATTGATCGGCAGAGGTGTGCGTAATCAAGAACAAGAAGGCAACAGAGACACAAGAGTTAGACAGGTTCGGGCCGTCTGCACGACGTAATACCCTACTCCTGTGGTCTGTTGGTTTGTATTGGCTATCGTATGATATTGCGTCTGTTTTGAGGGGGTCCCCTACCCGCCTTATATAGCCGGAGGTAGGGTTACAAGTCGGTTAGATCTAGAAGATAACCGGTAAGTAATAACAGGTTACAGGAATCTCGGGATCGAGCATATCCTAACAGATCTCATAGCATCTTCAGGATATCGCCCTTAATGTCTTACGGTACACGCCGAGCAGTACCGTGTACCGTAAGCCTTCGTCTTGTGGGCTGGACCATCCCTGGCGGCGCAGCCCATGTAGTCTATCGTGGGTATCCGGGGTCATACCCCCACAGCTAGTCCTCGAGCGCCTTGTATCCACTGTGCAACGCTGTCTTGAGCTTATCAGAGCAGGTGTAAATAAAACCGAGCAGTCAGACTCATAGTCCGACCACCCTAATGAGTCGCCGAGCAGTTGTGGACTGTAACCGACCAGCTTAACTGTCCGGCCGAGCCCGGGATTACCCAAATAAGGCTTGCCAGAAGGATGTAAGGAGCTCAAGTTCAAAATCAAAAATTTTCTCGCTGTGAACCAAGTGTGCCCACTTAGATTCCGACCACGAGAAAGGGAGATAATCTTCTTCAACTTCGGGGGGCATGGAGTCTTCCAATGAACAGATTAAAGAAAAAACACTCACCACAAGGTGAAGTGTGCCCACTTAGTCCCCGAGCCTGAAAGTAAGTGACGTGGTCACGTGGTGCTAGGGTCCAAAAAGTAGAAGAAAGATAGAAGACCAGCCAAATAGGCAACCAGTCCACGGGCTGAGCCCTGAAATGAAAAGCGCACATTCACCGTAAGGTGAAGTGTGCCCACTTAGTCCCCGAGCCTGCTAGAAGATTTTGAAGATTATCTCATAGCAGGGTCAAAGAATTTATAATGAAAGCTTGCCAACGTCATCTGCCATGTACTTCACAAGACCCCGGACGTGCTGCCCAAGATCAGCACCCTAATATGAACAACATGGAGCAACTTGATAGCACACCGATGAGACGTAGCAAGATCCGACCACCAAGGGAGTCCCTAGCTTAGCTGGCGACGCTTGCACGAAGAATCCGAACACCGAGGGGTCCTCAGCGTAGCTGACGAGCCTTCAGCGTAGCTGACGATGAAGCTCATGCGATGAGCAGTCGAACCAACTAGTCGGCAGCGAAGTGAATGCCGAGCAGGAGTGAGTGACGAGCAGTCCGACCAGTTGGTTGGCGGTGAAGTCCGTCCGATAGGTAGTCCGACCACCCGGACGATGATCATCTTGTCCAATCCCTGAGCGTAAGCTTGTTGACCGAACCACGCCCCTGTGAAACAAATGTGTAGAATGGGTAGTGCATGATGTAAAAATAAAATATATGAACTCCAGAGAAGAATTAGCAATGGTGATGAAATAGCGTATGTAGCTAGGCGATCAGTTGGTGTGAACACTTAGTGTTATTCTGAAGATGTGTTTATATTTAATATAAACTGTCCGACTAGTTAGTGTGTAGCTGAGTCTCCAATCCTAGCTAGCCTATTAACCATAACGCGGAGCGCAGAGCCCGTGTGCGTGTAGGAAGAACAAAGTATCGCCAAGGAGCCACTGTCGGCCACTCATAATGCAGAGGGTAGATGCTCGTGCATGTGTAGGAAGAAGCCGGAGACATGGCTGTCTCTAAAAACATCCGAGCGTCAACATGACTGTTCGGAGATTTGCCTTAGGCGTAGTTTGCATGTCATCTTTAAGATGGTATATATAGAAATGAAGTGGAGTATCTTAAAGATATTAAACATGAAGAATGACCAAAGAAATAATAGTTGGAGAAGCACGAGGAGAAAATTATATTAAATACGTATATAGGAAGGGTACTTATCTTTAGTCAAAACGGCTGGTCGACGGCGTATGACGTTATCTAGAATGCCATCTTCAGGATATCGCCCTTGATGTCTTATGGTACACGTCGATCAATACCGTGCACCGTAAGCCTTCGTCTTGTGGGCTGGACCACCCCTGGCGGCGTAGGCCATGTAGTCTGCCGTGGGTATCCGGGGTCGTACCCCCCACACTATGTCTCTTGTTCGATCTTGATTTGCATTATTTGCTAACAAGTGGTATCGGAGCCAGACACGAGATTGAGAAAAAATTAGGGTTTTATTCGTTGTTCATCACGCTGCCGCCGCCGTCATCGGATCCATCTGCAAGCCGGCGTGCTTCCCTGCTATTCGACGAATTCATCGCGCCGCCGCCCGTGCAGAGTCAGAATCGATTTTGCCGTGGCTGAGTTCATTTTGGAGTCGGCCTGTTCATCTGATCTACTCCGTATAAAAAGCTGCAGCACCGTCTGTGGCGTTTGCAGCCGAAGAAAATCAGGCTCTGTTTGGCTGGTCTATAAGTCGCTTGTGCTGATTTGAACGACTAATTTATTGTGAGAGAAAAAAACTGTAGCATAAATGATAAGTTCAATCTGGTGCTGCCGTCCCGTTCATGGCGTGTTGCTCCCCACGCGGGTGGAGGAGATCATCACATCGTGTGGACTATCTTCGGAGAGAGAAAAATAAGATTGGGTGAATTTGCTGCGCACGGGGACTGAGGCAGGAGACAAGCAGTCCTATTGCCGTTGGGTGCTGTGATTTTTGGTGGAATTTTGCTAAGTGGACTACAAGGAGATCTCTTTCTTCAGTTTATTGCTGAACGTACACAGATATTGTACCAGGCTGCAGGTTTTTTGCTAGGGTTACACCTAAATTTCTGCAGATTATTTTTCTTCCCGTTATTGCTGTTATTTTCTTCACCATATCGATGAAGTATGATATTCCTCAACTGGATCGCGACACAAGGTTCGCTCTATGGCAAGTCATGATGCGGGCTATTCTTACGCAGGCTGAAGTCGATGATGCTCTTGATAAATTTGGTAACAAGGATTCCAAATCTTGGACCGACGAGGAGAAGAGAAAAGATCGTAAGGCCTTGACTCAAATTCAACTTCATCTTTCAAATAATATTTTGCAAGATTGTTTGCAGGAGAAAACTGCAGCTGTGCTATGGCTCAAGTTAGAGTCAATTTGCATGTCTAAGGATTTGACAAGCAAGATGCATTTGAAGATGAAGTTATATACACACAAGTTGCAAGAGGGTGGTTCTGTGCTTAACCATCTTATGGTCTTCAAGGATATCGTTTCGGATCTACAGGCTATGGAGGTAGATTATGATGATGAGGATTTGGGTCTCATTCTTTTGTGCTCTTTGCCTAGTTCTTTTGCAAACTTCAGAGATACATTGTTATATAGTCATGATACTCTAACGCTTGATGAATTTTCTGAGGCTTTGCACGCCAAGGAAAAGATGAAAGAGATGGTGTCTTGTGAAGGTTCTCCTTCCAATGGAGAAGTGTTGTCTGTTCGTAGGAGGACAGAAAATAAATCAAACAATGGCAATAGAGACAAAAGTTCTAATGGTTATATAGGCCGATCAAAATCTCAAAGCAAGGGAGATAAATTCTGCAAGTATTGCAAGAAAGATAATTACTTTATAACCGAGTGTTATAAGTTAAAGAATAAAGAGAAGAGAACTGGCACATATAGAGAGAAAGATAAATCCAATGATGAAGGTAATGCTTCTGTTGCTGCTTCTAAGGCAGATAATTCTACTGGTGATAAGCTTGTCGCTTTTGCTGGATGTGCAAATAGTGGTGATGAATGGCTTCTTGATTCCGCTGCTTCTTTTCATATATGCATTAATAGACATTGGTTTGTCACCTATGATTATCTCCAAGGTGGAGGTTCTGTTAGATTGGGTGATGATGGTCCACGTGATATTGTTGGCATTGGATCCGTTCAAATTAAAATGCATGATGGCATTGTCAGAACTTTGACTGACGTGAGGCATATTCTATATATGAGCAAGAATCTTATTTCTCTGAGTACTCTTCATAGTAAAGGGTACAAGTACTCCGGTGGAGATGGAGTTTAAAGGTGTCAAAAGGTTCTCTTGTTGTAATGAAAGGTGAATTGAAATCTCCAAACTTGTACCGTCTTCATGGTACTACAATTACAGGTGATGCTGTTGTAATTTCCAATTCATTATCTAATTCTGATGCTACTACTCTTTGGCACATGCGTCTTAGACATATGAGTGAACAAGCATTGCATGAATTGTGCAAGAGAGGGCTTCTTGATGAACATAGCATCAGTAAGTTGAAGTTTTGTGAGCATTGTGTGTTTGGCAAACACAAGAGGGTTTCGTTTAATACCTCTACTCATAAAACTAAAGGTATTCTTGATTATGTGCATTCTGATTTAAGGGGACCATCTCGCAAGCCTTATATTGGTGGTTCTCGTTATATGTTGACAATCATTGATGATTATTCTCGTAAGGTATGGCCTTATTTCTTGAAAGATAACTCACAAGCATTTTCAGCATTTAAAGAGTGGAAGGTTATGATTGAAAATCAAACTGAGAAGAAGGTTAAAAAGCTTCGCACTGACAATGGGATGAAATTCTGTTCTACTGAATTTAAAGCATATTGCAAGTCTCAAGGCATTGTTAGGCACTACACTATTCCTTATACGCCTCAACAGAATGGTGTAGCTGAGCGTTGGAACAGAACTATCATCTCTAAGGCCCGTTGCATGTTGTCTAATTCGGGTTTGGATAGGCGTTTTTGGGCTGAAGCTGCTTCCACTGCTTGCTATCTTATTAATTGTTCACCCTACATTACTCTTGGTAAGAAAACTCCAATCGAGGTATGGTCTGGTTCTCCAGCTGATTATTCATAATTGAGAGTTTTTGGCTGTACTGCCTATGCTTATGTTGATAATGGTAAATTGGAGCCTAGAGCTGTTAAATGCATATTTTTTGGTTATCAACCTAGTGTTAAAGGTTATAAATTATGGAAACCCCAGACTTGGAAGGTTGTGCTTAGTAGAAATGTTATCTTTAATGAATCTACTATGTTTTATGACAACCTATCTGTTGATGCTCCTGTTGAGGGAAAGAAAATAAGTGTGCAGGTGGAGCACTTAATTGATGCACCATATGTTGATAATGTTGCTGTCCAAGATGCACCAATTGCTGAAATTTCTCCAATTGTTGATAATTCATCTGTTGTTGAGCATTCTTCTCCAGTTGTGTAGTCTCCAAAACGTTCTATTGCTGTTGATAGGGCCAGAAGGCAGCCCAAACCAGTTAAAAGGTTGATTGAAGAATGCAATGTCGCTTATGTTGTGAGTGTTGCAGAAGAGATTGAAGGTAATTGTAACACCCTAAAATTTGCAACATTTTGAAATAGGTGAATTGAATTTATTTATGCATTAGTGTGCGCATGTAGCATAGAAAAATAATAAATTTTATCAAATTAAAATCAAATATAAGGTTTACCTACATGTTTATGCATTCATGCTGCTGCATATTATTTTTGTATTGTATGGTTTGAAATCAGATTTCAAATTGATTTGAATTTGCATTCAAAAGTTGTTCGGAAATTAGTTTGGAAAATAGAAAAGGATTTCATTTTCCCTTCCTTGATTTCAGCCCGCCATAGCCAGGTCGGCCTACTCTCCTCGGCCTATTGGTCAGCCGCCCCGCTCCTCTTCGCTTTCCGCGTGACCTGCTCTCCCCTCCCCCGTGGCCTAGCTGCGGCCCAGTTCCCCGCCGCGTCGCGCCCGCGTCGTTCCCTCTCTCCTCTCGCTGACGGCCCAGCCCTACATGTCAGCAGTGCCGCCAGGAATCCACGCCACTCACGCCCCCTCCTTGTCTTGTGCTCCATGCCACTTCTGGCTATAAAAATAGGATGCCCGCATCGTGCCGCGCCTATCTCGAGCTTCGGAGCCATAGCTGCCCTCGCATCGCGCCAAGCCTCGCTAACCCTAGCATCGCCGCCACCTCTGCCGCCTCGCCGAGCACCGCGCTGCTCTCTTCCGCTCCACGCATTGGTAAGCTACCGGGACGAGTTCACCTTGCTCTCCTCTAGCTTCTGGTGTTCTTGGTTTGCTATTTCTTGGTCTATAGACGGTAATTCTAGAGCGTTGCCTGTCTCCGGCCATGGCGTCGCCGTGGAGCTCGCCGTCGACCTTGCCGGTGTCTCACATCTCTTCCAGATATGTTTTGAGCCGTTCAATCTGAGATCAAGGGCCCAGATTAGAAGATACCCCTTTGCTGTGAAATTTACAAAAAGGCCCTTACAAATAATTGAATCTTAACCCGCCATCCCTGAACTTTTGTTAAAGAGACCCTATGTTTTCTTCAAATTGTGGCCACAGTCCTTATTTAGGTTTAAAATCAAATTTTAATTATTTTAAATCCGAAAATTAAGTTTCATCTATTTATAAGACTGCCACTGTCGTCTGTAGGCAATAAAATATTTGTTTTAACTCCGATTTGATCCATTCAACTTGCATTAGGTTCATAATTACATAATATACATATTCATACTACTGTTAAGTATGTTTTCAACTTTTAAAATTCGAGGTTAGATTTAATCTATTATTTTACTAAAGGAAATCTTGTTTAATTCATAACTTCTTCGTTTCAGCTCTGATTTTTGTGATCTTCGCGTCTGTGTGTTTGTAGTGAGACGTAGATTTGTTTTACAAACTTTTCATCTTGATTTTATGCTGTTGGTGTACTGTTCTAATCTATAGCTTTCATTTGCTATGCATGATTGCTTCTGGATGCTTATATGTTGCTGTGATTATCGAGTATAGACGGGGAGCAATTCGTGGGTGACTAGGAGTATTACTTTGACGAGCAGGATCCGCAGGAGCATTTTGTTCAAGGCAAGTATAGCATGGGATTATCCTTATTTCCTATCAACTTTAATACATTTAATTCATGTTGCATGTGTCACCTTGATAGGGATTCCCTAGAATTGAACTTATACCCACCTATGGGTTATGCATTGGGTAGCTTTGCTAGTGCTCAATTAAACCATGATCTTGTAACTTGACTAATGGTATATGCAATAAACATTAAAATATGACTTTTTAGCAACTTGGAAACAAGGGGGCTGGAATGTTTAGCTACTTTTTAAATGCTTCAGATTCCTCTCCCTAAGGACTTATCTATAAGTGATCATCCAAGACTTATAGTACAGCTATGAGGGCTACATGGCTCTGGCTTTAGCTCAGTATGAGGACCTTTTCTAGCTTGTTAGCGGTTACCTTTATGGCGCAAGAGGGGTGTGTTTCAGGTTGGATATATGCGGCCTCTGTTCGTCAGTGTATAGGCTGCGCGTCAATGTGCCTATTGGAAGGGGAGCCCTACATTCGCAGGGCACAGAAACCTAGTGGCCCTAACTTGTTAGACGAACCTTTGAAATGCTTCATAGTGAACCCTGCCTGCTCACCTTGGAAGTGTTTTGGGAGTTATAAACCCGGGCATATGGGTATCACGACTCACAGTGAAAGTGTACAACCTCTGTAGAGTGTAAAACTAGTATTCATTATTCATGTTTACATTGATCATGTGTTTTACTTTGGGATTGAGACAGCTTGTTGCTACTCTTATGCTAAAATTGTGACAATTAAAAGCTGAACGCTGTTAAACCTGTGTCAAGCCTTTTGAGCCTCATGAACCCCATGTTACACTTGTTGAGTATGACATGTACTTACACTTGTATATTTTCATTATTTGGATAAAAATCCCGGATGGGTAACAGATGGCTATGGTAATGATAACTTTCCTGAGGATTACTAGACTTGTGGTCAACCAGTTGACATCCCTGTGATATGGAGCTTCCATGAGAGATCTTTTCTTTATACTTCCGCTATATTTATGTGAAGACTCTGTCTTATTATTCGTGATGTAATAAACACTTGTGATGATACTATTTATAATTTGTCAGCTTATGTGTGTGATTGATCTCTGGGTGCACATAAGATTTTGCATCCCATTTTATCTTTAAAATCGGGTATGACAGTAATTCAGAACCTTCTAATTATTCTGAGGCTATTACTTCTGCTGATTGCAATAATTGGATGACCACTATGCAAGATGAGATGGAGTCACTCGAAAAGAATGGTACTTGGGATTTAGTAAAGTTGCCTAAGAATAAAAAGCCTGTCCGTTGTAAATGGATTTTTAAAAGAAAGGAGGGTATTTCTCCAAGTGAGCCATCAAGGTAGAAAGCAAGGTTGGTTGCTAAAGATTATAACCAGATTTCAGGTACTGGTTTTAATGATGTTTTTTCCCAGTTGTTAAGCATAGTTCTATTCGCACTTTGCTTAGTATTGTTGCCATGCATGATTATGAACTTGAGCAACAAATGTTAAAACTGCATTCTTACATGGGGAGCTGGAAGAAGACATTTATATGAACCAACCTGAAGGTTTTGTTATTCTTGGAAAAGAAAACCTTATTTGCAAGTTAAAGAAATCTTTTTATGGTTTGAAGCAATCTCCTAGGCAATGGTACAAGAGGTTTGACTCTTTTATGCTCTCTCATGGTTTTAAGCGGTCTGATTATGATAGCTGTGTTTATTTAAAGATTGTTAATGGCTCAGCTATTTATTTGCTTCTTTATGTTGATGATATGTTGATTGCTGCTAAAGAAAAATCAGAAATAGCTAAATTAAAGGCACAATTGAGTAAAGAATTTGAGATGAAGGACCTAGGTGCAGCTAAGAAAATTCTTGGTATGGAAATTGTTAGAGATAGAAAATCTGGCAAATTATACCTCAGTCAGCGAGGTTATATTGAAAAGGTTATTCGTCGTTTCAATATGCATAATGCAAAACCAATGAGTACTCCATTAGCTGCACATTTCAGATTATCCTTAGCTTTATGTCCACAGTCAGATGATGATGTTGAGTACATGTCTAGAGTTCCATATTCCAGTGCAGTTGATTCTCTTATGTATGCCATGGTTTATTCTCGTCCTGATTTATCTTACACATTGAGTGCTGTCAGTAGATTCATGGCTAATCCTGGTAAGGAGCATTGGAGGGCCGTTCAGTGGATTTTCATATATTTGCT